ATTTGACATTTCAGAAAGTGTTGGTTTCCACTGTGCAGAAATAAATGTTCCAGCGTTTACACGTGGGAAACCTCAGCTATCAGCAACAGACGTTGAGACTACACGAAGAATCGCCCATGTTAGAATTCATGTGGAGAGGGTGATAGGACTTGTTAGAAATAAGTACACAATTTTGCAAGGCAAGCTGCCTATTGACTATTTGATGAGTGAAGAGGGGGGTGTGCCAGCAATCGATAAAATTACAACAGTTTGTTGTGCATTAACCAACATGTGTGAGTCTGTGGTTAGTTTTGATTAAGTATTGCATAGAACTATGATGTGTGGAATTATGCTTAACTAAATATCACTGTCACTTTACTGAGTCACTGTGTCCCAGAGCCTCATGCTGCTAATGTATAGATGTAAAGATACTGCTGCAAATGTACAGATGCTAACATAGAACTACATATTGCTGGCACTAGAATACACACGCCTCTTATTTTGCCAAATGTAAAACTTTTACACTTATTTTTATTTAAGATAGATTTTATACTTGTTATTTATGGGAGTTAAAGAATGTTTTATTTTAATTAGTATAGCTATTGTTCACTCATCTTTTACAGTGTGCTACTCTTTCCTACTGTTCCATAACTTGTGATGCAACACAAATTTCCCCGTTGTGGGTCAAATAAATGTTCTCTGAAACATACTTCTTTTCTTTTCACTTTATTACCACATCACTTTTCTACAAGTGGGACAATAGTATGGAGGTTTGGGATTCCTCTTAATGCCAACACATTTGAAATGGAGAAAACCATACTGACATTTTTCATTGGCACACTTCACTGTATTACTCATATATGTTTCTGACCGTTCACCACAAACACAACGGAGTGCACTGCACGTAGTGCTGCCATCTTCAGCTGCTGACTGACTCCGAGTCTGTTGGGGTGCAGTACTGATAACCGGTATCCCATCAGGACTGGCACTGTTGTTGAACAAAGTGTTTGATTGTTGTTTGTGCAGCCTTTCCCTAGTAAGAAGGCTTCCTGTCATCTCTGGGAGGACGACAGATAAGAAGAAGTCCTCGGACTTTTTCAAGATTTCTTCTTCCAGGGCTTGGTCTGGCTCGATCCTCTGGATGAACATTCCAGTCGGACTCCACACAACAAAGTCACAGTAGGCTTTCTGCGTAACAGTTAACTGCGTCTGAATTTGATACTTGTACTTGTGTTTGTCTATCAAGTGTCCCTCCTTGATATAATCCACACTTGATAGACCTTTCTCTTTTGCTGTGTAGGGGCATTTTACTTCGACAAGACCCACACCGCAGCAGTCACACTGTACAATTCCATCAGGAGTGGCACCAACATGTGAATATCTGCCATTTAGAAAGAGTCCACACTTTTTCACAAAAAATGTTCATGCTGTTGACACATTTTCTCTGTGTATGCACTTAAAGCAATACCTTCATGTTTTAGACCATAGTCAGTGGCTTTAGTTTTTACCGGCTTTCTACCACACACCGCCTGAATGGTTGAACTAGCTGGAGATGCTGAATTGTAATCGCACACAGCCTTCATATTTGAAGCAGTAATCCTACCTAATCTAAAGTGGAACCACTCTTTACACTTATTTTGTTCTCGTGTCAGTCGTTCCACATTCACAGCTTGCTCTGGGGTGACAGTTACATCCTTTAAAATTGTCAAACAATGCTGTCTTAGGAGTTCTGGTTCCATTTCAAGATACTTATCATCTCGCAGATTAGAAAGTGGCTGAGGCAGATTCCCGTCTTGGAGAATCTTTGGGACATATTGGTCTTGAAATCCACTGGACACAGTCAGTACAGATGCTTTTGTCACGCGATGCAAGTCGTGCAATATTTCAAGTCTGTCTGCAGCTGATGGTCTCGGGACATCAGGAAGTTTCTGGGATGACCGCTGTTGAATAGGCTCACCTGCAATGAGGATGAAATATGTTTACTTATTGTCTGCTGTTCCCAACAACAGTATTGGAGTTATACAAGTAGTAAGTGCACATTTATCCCATAAGCAAGACAATAAAGTAAGTCTTATGTCATTATTTGAATGTATATCTAATTTAGAATTCCAAAAATATATATAATTCATTCATTACACAAAAACAGTCAGCAGATACCAGGCTGAATTTAAGGTGACAAAGGTAAACAAACAAGGGCATTACCACTGATTCTACTTTCAAAACGTCTCTTCTTTGTCGCTACTGATGTGAAGTCTATTTGACGAATCGTGGCATATGGCACCTTGTCAATCGCTGATGGTATGCACCAGTAAGCCTTCTCTTGGGTGACAGTCCTCTGTGTAACCAAGCGGTGTGCTGATTCAACGTAAAACAGGAGAGCACCGACATGGCTGCAGGTTTCACCTAGTCCAGCCTTGCAATCACAATGTGCTGCTTCTATTGTCCCATCTTTGTTAGCTATGATCCATGGACGCAGAGGGGCAGCATTCAGCATCTGAGAATGGCGAACCTGAATGTGTGAAAAAAAATCATAACATGAAAATAAGAAACAGTACCGTAAATACTGTAAAAAATATAAAGGCTAGCAGGCTACATACCTTTGATAACACCAACACGTTGGACTCCACAGTCATACTTTGTACATCACGCACCCATCCACAACACAGCTGATTCATGGCTTCCATTGAGATATATGCCTTCAGCTGTTCAAATGTGTACGCACTTTTTGCATTTATGAGGTAGTTCACGATGTCAATGTACGTAACAGCAGGTAAGCACTTAGCATCATTCTTCAGGTCCTCCTTTGCTAGCATATATGGATCTCTCCCCGCAATCAGTCCCATTTTCACTTGGTATCGCTGGCGTTCCTTTAGCTGGAGGCTCTCCCTGTACGACTTCAACTTCTGAGAAGTCATTTTTGTCCAAAACACGAAAAAAATTGGTATCCTTTTCAGTCACCTCTTCTAGGACGTTTACCTATGTAGCGCGGTGTGCCCAAAAAAATGGAGACCGGAAGTCTGCTGCCGATTTCGTGGGAACTATGTATAGGGTCTGAAAAGTCGCTAAATCTAGCGACAAAGTCGCTAAGTTGGCAACACTGAACAGAACCGAAAAACCCCAACTTAGGGGCGCATGCGCACTGATCCATGGTCGAACTCCGTGGACTTACACACTGTTATTATTATAGAGATATCTCACGTGACGTCATGATGCCTCGAACTCGCGGGGCATCCGCCATACCGGAGGACAAGCAAACGCCGTATGATAGTGGCGTGCACCCGGGACCGCATAAACATGTTCAAAATGTTTGCCGTTTTTGGCTGCAGCAAAAGGAGAGACAGGGAAAATAAGTTGTGTTACCGACTGCCAGCCGTCCTTACTTCACATGGCTCAAAAACAGAAGAAATCTCAAAGAAACGAGAGAGAAATGGCACAACCATACGCAACAACAAAAAACTAATAGCCCCCAGAGCGCCCGAATATGCTCGGATCATTTCATTTCTGCTAAGTGAAATCAATTTGATGGCGGATTTAGTGTTATTCTGAAACAAAGAGAAGTTTAACGATAAAACATATCTGTCTGACTGCAACGTGGGGTTGCTCCATAGACTGTAGCTTAGCTTGTAGCATAGCTGTTATATATTTGGTCTCACACAGGACCTCACCCGGTTCACAGGGTATCTGACTTACCGAAGGCCAGCAGACATGTGAACGACTGAGCCGTGCTCGAGGGTGCCCCGTACTAGTATTTATTAATAAAATATACGGCTCCTCACAGTAGACGCAGAAAGCTCCATTGATTTGAATGTAATCTCATTATTTCCACTGCAGTGTAGCCACACATAGATCCATGGTGTAACAAGAAACACATTAAATGTTAATCGGAGAATACATTATACATATACATTCTTAATACACGTGCACAGAGGTTTTCAGAATTTTCTGTTCACGTTTTCATGAAAAAACACTGTTTTAATGTGACAATATGCGACCGCGGTAAACCTGGATGTAATGATAAACATTAATAATACATTTTAAGACGCATTTCCAGAGGATCTGATTCATGAATTTAGGTTGAGTATATATTTGGGTCACTAACTGCTGAAGTTTCAAATTCTCTGTTCAGTTTTCATGTAGTTCGAGAGAGTTCTAGTTTTGAACGTCCAGTTATAGATAGCAAGGCTGTTACTCGCCGAGGTTGTAATGCGAGGCGCAATGTAAACTGACTTTTGTAGGGGGCGCTGTTCTGTCATTTTTTTTTGTCCCATAAAAAAAAGTTCTGAATTTTGGGCAAAATTTCACAAGTTTTCATCAATGTTCAGGGGGTCAAAATAAGGTTGCGCCCAGAGATTGTGACTTATGACAGTTACAACGAGTAATAGGCCCTTACCCCAGTTGGGGCTTGGGCCTTATAAATAAACCATGGAATTTTTTTGAAAAATCTTCGAGCAAACACAATATAGGCTTTGCCCAGGCATTACTCGTTGGGAAAGCAAAATATAAAATATAAAATATACAATCCCTCAGTTGTATGCACAGCTAAACAGAACACTTTTCAACCTTTTCAACCACCACTGCCCTGACGAAGACTCTGGTCGAAACGCGTCGGCCTATCATTAAAAAGAACACAGTCCTCAGACTGCCTCCTTCTCCATTTTTTCTTTTGCATGCAGAGAGGAGGCCTGTCTCACATCTTCAGGAAGATTGTTCCAGATCTTAGCAGATTTTACAGAAACTGTGTTCATGTAAAGTCAGAAACGCTAACCTGAATCCACATACCAGTGGTGCATTCCAGTGAATATGAGTTTGTTTGGTCTTAAGTTTGGTCACATTTTGTTTGATAGTTTGTTTGACAAATAGTCACAGATAGTCAACAGATTCAAATGTGCATGTATAAGTGATCGTTGCATTTGGGACAGTATTACATAAAAATGCATATATTCATTATTATTGTTGCTGTTCATTTGTAGTGTTATTATTGTGATTATTATCATTATGATAAAGTGCATGTTTCTTTGTATTCATTGGCTGAGTCTGTGTTCGACAGTGCAGACGACTCCACTCTTGGGCCTCAGTGTCCCCATGTCCTGAATATCAAAACTCTGTCCTGGGACCAGGCTGAAGTCAAACCTCTGGAGCAGTTTAGCCAGCACCACTTTAGCCTCCATCTGTCAACAAAACACATGTTCATAATATTTTCTTGCTCAAAATCATATCCTCGTAGACTTACCTGAGCAAAGTTCAGACCAAGACACGATCGAGGGCCGAGGGAAAAGGGGAAGTAGCAATAATACGGCCTAAAAATAAAAGTAAGCAATGATTATTGCAGGAATTTGCATATGTGAATCCTGGTCAGTTTGTTAAATTGTTGTTATAATGTATTAGACTGTGCACGAACATTACTCACTTTGGAGCATCAGGATGAAATCTGTCGGGGTCAAACTTCAAAGGGTCTTTGAAGAATCTCTCCATTCTGCTGGTTACAAAAGAGCTGAACTAAAAGCAAAATAATATTAATCAGTTATCAATCATGTTTAGTTTATTTTATAAACACAATTTCCCAGTAGAAAAAACACACAGCTATATACAGTAGGTACATGGTTTACCGTACACTTCTAAGCCCCTGTTAGAGAAAGTGGGATCAAAGGGGAGAAAGAGATAACATTCAAAGACAGACATTGAATGTCTGTCTCAGACTCATGCCTTTGTTTGACTGTTACCAATGGATTTTGATGCAATAGAACTTAAATATCAATGTTGCCATTACAAATTTTACAGCCGCCCCACTGTGGCACCTCGCGTTGCCAATGAACCAATCAAAGTACTCACCAGGCCCTACCTGGTTTTTATTGGTTAAATCCCTAAACATCTATTATAAAACATATATGGTCTAACCGGACTACAGTATAAAAGTTTCTAAAGTGAATGAAATGAAATGAAAAAAATGAAATTATTGCAATGCTAAAAATCTATGGGAATGAATGCTACAGCTGTTTACTGTAGTACAAAAAACAACAACTGTTGAAGAATGTGCAGTTTTTACCCCGGCTGTGACTCCTGCAGGAATATGGATACCGTTGATCTCAATGTCCATTGGAACATCACGGTTTGTGCCTGGAGCGGTTGCGTAAAGCCGGAGAGTCTCTTTCAGCACCTGAGTGAAGTGAAATGATTGTATTGTTTTTTATAATTATGATATGAATCCAACAGATCAGTGAGTGGATTCAAAACTACTTTCTCCAGCTAAACTCAGACAAAACTAAAATGTATAATGTTGAAAAAAATTGTACACTTGATATATATTATTTCACTTTTGACAGTTGACATTAAATCAGTTGATGTGCATTAGGTTCGGAAGGGGTCCCAAAAATAATTTATTCTAGGGGTCAAAATGAAGGTGTATGGTAGATTTTTCAAAACCTGGCATTTTTTACAACAAAATTAGTTTGGTTATATATGGATTGGAACTGGACCAAATGTGGGGATTTTTTATTGAATTTCTGGATTGAGTTTTCTGGAGGGAAAAAAAACCTTTAAAATCATGTAAAGTGCCATGGTAGCACACAACGTCTTACCATTAATTCTTGCAATTTTACACTGATAAATGAAAATAACTAGGAGCCTCTAAAAGGGTCTCCTGGGCCAGGCCCCACTTTGGACGTCCCTGAGTTCAGTCTTGTAAAGGATGCTCCCTGGTGCTCGCTCAAGTGAGTTAGGGGAAACAATGACACTCTCTGCTCTGTCTTTATCAAACTTTCTCACACATTTCTGTGGAGAAATTATGGAAACTAGGAACGAAGAGATGAGGAAATGTTTTTAAGCTACACTTTGTCTGATTTTAAGAGTTGGGCAGATTTTGAAGATGGCCAGGTATATGCCATCTGTGACCTCTACAAACTTAGAGGTCACAGATGACTTTGGCCTTACACAAATTATTAATGGTCCCACGAGGATAACAAGTCATTCAAGAACACAAATCTTTTTGAAAAAACTTTTTGACAGGACTTTCAGATCACAATGCAATTTTTATCTCGAGAAAGTTCTCTAAAAGCTTTAGCCCAAATCGATTTTTTTATACCAAAAAGTCAAGAACAAATTGTAGCTGTTGTATTGAATAACTTTAATTGGTCTGAAATTACTTCCTGTGCAAATGTTGATAAATGCTGTGATCTCATGTACTCGTCAATCAGTGATGCCGTGAGACCTTTTCAAAGAATGGGATCTCATAAAAAACAACTGCATCATTTACCTTGGATCAACAGGGAATGCAAACAACTTATGATTCACAGAGACACACTCCTTAAAAAAATTTAAGGTCTGGTCTAACGACTGATAGACTAAATTTGGTTTCAATAAGAAATAGGGTTACACAGACGTTAAGAATGGCAAAAGCAAACTTCTTTATAAAAGGTGATAGATGATGCCAAAGGAAACTGTAAAGTTATCTGGGATAATATTAAAAAATTGACTGGACAACCAAGATAAATGTATGGAATTTGCTAATGAATTGGTATGTGATCCTGTTATCCTTGCTGATAAATTAAATGAATATTTTCATAACATCATAAACGAGATTGCACAATATTTTCGAGCGCCCTGTGATACTTTTATTAATTCATGTAAAGAAATAGGGAAACTAGGTGTCCGCACACTTTCCCATTGTGAACCTGAGTTTAACATTAAAAGAGTCTTGGAAATTGATGTATTAAATATAATCTCAAAATTAAGAAATTCAAAAGCACAGGATATATTTGGAATAGATACCAATCTACTGAAGCACTATAAACTGTGTCTGTTAAAACCCATCACACATATAATTCAGTTATCGATTACACAGGCAGCTGCACCACTGAAGTGGAAGATGGCCAAAATTACACCTATCCATAAATTGGGTGACAAAACAGACCCCGCTAACTATCTGCCCATCAGCATTCTGCCCACCATCTTAAAGATTGCTGAAAAATGGGTGGCCAAATCTATTACAGAACATCTTAATACTGGCATAGGCCTACACCCCATGCAATTTGGGTTTAGGTCCCAGCACTCAACAGAAACAGCTGTCTGTGTGTATTCGTGGAAAAGGTTAAGTCTTATCTTGACAAAAATAGTTGTTTTGCAGCCGTCTTCATTTATTTTAAACGTGCATTTGACACGATCAATCATTTAAAGCTCCTGTCAAGACTGTCTGCATTTAACTTCAGCGATCATTCTGTTCAGTGGGTGAAGTCATACCTTTCAGACCGGCAGCAGTGTGTGCAAGTAGGTGACAGTAGGTCCCCCTATCTCCATTACAACATAGGGGTACCTCAGGGTTCAATTTTAGGCCCCTTACTTTTCTCACTGTACGTCAATGACTTACCAAGTATATGTAAGAATGTAGACACCATTATGTATGCTGATGACACAGTTATTTTTACACAAGCAAGAAGCGCAGAGGAGGCAGCCCTTTGTTTGTCAACAGTTCTTGATGATCTGCAGAAATGGTTACATGACTCGTGTCTCTGTCTGAATGTTAAGAAAACTGTTTCTATGTTCTTTTCCAAGCCAAACACAAAGTTATCCCCAGCAAAAGTAAATCTGGGAGGTGTAGCCTTAGAGAATGTAGAACAATTTAAGTATCTTGGTGTATTGCTAGAAATCTGTTAGTGGCGCTGCTCGCCTGACTCGAGCGACAGTCAGAGGAGACTGTGATGCCCCACTGAGAAGGACAGCCTTCTCCCAAAATGTCCTGTCAGTCCAGGGCGTAAAGCACTGGAACAGAACACCCACATCAGTGAAGGACAGCACCAGTCTCCCCACATTTAAACATCAGTTAAAACTGTGGCTGAGGGACTCACAAATATGTGAGCATGTGTAACATAAGTCTTTAATAAATAAGCAACACTCAACAGGAAACAGTGCAATAGGGAGCAGTGCAATACTAAATAGTGCAATAGGGAATAGTGCAATACGGAACGGTGCAGTAGGGAGCAGTGCAGTAGGGAGCAGTGCAGTAGGGAGCAGTGCAATAGGGAACAGTGTCGTAGGGAACAATGCAGTAGGGAACAATGCAGTAGGGAGCAGTGCAGTAGGGAGTGCAGTAGGGAGCAGTGCAGCAGGGAGCAGTGCAGTAGGGAGCAGTGCAGTAGGGAACAATGCAGTAGGGAGCAGTGCAGTAGGGAGTGCAGTAGGGAGCAGTGCAGCAGGGAGCAGTGCAGAAGGGAACAGTGCAATAGGGAACAATGCAGTAGGGAACAATGCAGTAGGGAACAGTGCAATAGGATGAGTACAATACAATATCTCAAGTCTTTCTGTCAATTGTTGTATACTGTCTCGCATGTCTGTATGTGTTCAGCTGTCCTTGTACATGTTCTGTATATAATCTTGTGTACATTGTATTCTTTGCATGATTTGTATTGTTATGTCCTGTTTGTTTTTTATGTTTTTTGTTAACATCAACCTGCCAGGGGGTCTACAGATGGAAATTAGCCTAAGGCTATAATCTGGCATATTTACATTAGTTAAATGTTCATAAATATGCATTGTACCTCCTTAACCCAAATAAATAAATAAATAAAAATGCCTTTGGTTTGTGTGCTACTGTGTAATGTTTGAGAATGAAAAAGCAAAACATGAAAATGCGTCATCACGATATTTATCAATCTGGCAGTAAAATCAAGTCTATCTATTCTACACACTCACTTGTGAAAGATAGGTCAAGTTCCCCAGATCATCGTAGCTGATGTCTCGCTTACTCCCAATAACATCATCCACCTCTTTCTTCAACCTGAAATGAAATGACATATTGGACACAAAATGTATGGTTACATATGCTCAAATTCAAAACATGTAAGTAAGTAAGTATTAGTAAGTAATCTTTATTTATATACCGCCTTTCACAGACCAGAGTCACAAAACGGTTTACAATTGTTATTATTTTTGGGCATTTGTCGCTCACTCCACACAGATGGGAGTGGGGTCGCCGAACAGGAGGCGCATGCCAGGCCTATTGTGCATGTTTTTAGTGGTAGGGGAAACCGGAGCACCCGGAGGAAACCTACGCAGACACGGGAAGAACATGCAAACTCCACTCAGAAAGGCCCTGGTCCGACCGGGATTCGAACCCAGGACCTTCTTGCTGAGTGCTATCCACTCAGCCACCGTGCCGCCCATGTCCCTTACTTACTTTTCCAGGATATCAGGATGTCTTCCCAGTTCCATTATACAAAAGGCAAGTTGATTAGCTGTCGTCTCCTGACCTATGGAAAATGGAAAGTAAGTCATCTTAAAAGATACACTTTAAGTTTGAGGATCTTGGAGCATTGGCTAATCAGTTTGATAGTCGAATAAATAATAACTAATTATCTGATCTGCTGTTGCAAACCAGGAAAGCATGTACAGCAGCTAATATTGCCAACATTTACATTAAAACATGTGTAGTTTATATAAATTATGGTCATTCACCTGCAATGAAGAATGTCACAAAATTGTCCAACATGATTTCCTCATCCTCTTTGGTCATACTGTCCTCTGTGTAAAAACACACACACATTTCAATCAGACTGCAAGACAAATCTAATCTAATTGTAATCTCAATGTGACAAGTAGCTATTCGAAAATCACAAACACTGCTTTGGACAATACAAAAAAATTCTACGTGAGCATAGATAATGGTAAAATATCATGTCAAAGTTATTTATTTAGCGGGTTACGGGGAAGATGGGTGGGGTTGTTCATTTCTCAGAGTTATAGTTCTCGCCAGTGAAAGAGAGGGTTGCAATCGTCTGCAAAAATTTTAACAATTGAGGCCGCCTAAAGACCAGACTGCATTGCAGAGAAAGCTGGCCTTCTTGGAATCTCTGGAAGAGGGGTAAGTCTGAGTGGGCCGTGTTCTCCACCTCTAATGCTCTGGCTCTTGTGGACTCTGGAAGCAAGGACTTTTGAGCCATGATGCGTGGGTCTCCTGAGGCATCTAACCAGTACAAGGAGTCCAAGCATAATACTGCCCGAGCTCTGGTAGAGCAGAAACTTGGGACTGGGAGGAGTTGGGAGAGTCCATGGATGGTTGGCTATCCACTGTCCTGAGCCTAAGGAGGGGGAGTAGTGCTTTGCCAACACTATTTACAGTGCAGACAGAGAGCTGCTGATCTCCCCTGGGGATATCCTTGAGTGGTGGAAGAAAAACTTTGAGGTTCTACATGAGTCTTCCACGAGAACACAATTGGGACTAACTCTCGCTGCCTGAAGTCACTGAGGTTGTTGGCGGTTGAGGGACTGACTTGGCTGACACATTTCTCAAACATTGCGTGGCAGTCGGGGACAGTGCCTCTGTACTGGAGTGATGGCTCTCTCTTCAAGAAGGGAGACTAGAGTGTGTGTTGCGAGTATTGTGGGATCACACTCCTCAGCCTCCCCAGCAAGGTTTACACCAAGGTACTGGAGAGAGATTTTGACTGAGGAAGTGGTTCTTTTCCTGGCAATGGAACACTGGACCAGCTCTTAAGGAAACATGTGTGTCCACATGTGTTTTGCGTATCTGGAGGCATAGTCCCCTCCTTTGGGGGCTTCTCCGGGACAATGGCGTCTCTGGGGCCCTTTGCTGAGGGCCATTGTGTTCCTTTCGGACCTTCCTTCTCTTTAACAGAACACTTCTTTTAGACATACAGTGCCTTGCGAAAGTATTCACCTTTCAACATTTCGCCACATTTCAGTCTTCAAACATGAAGATATAAAATTTTATTTTTTTGTCATGAATCAACAACAAGTGGGACACAATCGTGAAGTGGAATGAAATTTGTTGGATAATTTAAACTTTTTTAACAAATAAAAAACTGAAAAGTGGGGCGTGCAATATTATTCGGCCCCTTTACTTTCAGTGCAGCAAACTCACTCCAGAAGTTCAGTGAGGATCTTTGAATGATCCAATGTTGTCCCAAATGACTGATGATGATAAATAGAATGCACCTGTGTGTAATCAAGTCTCCGTATAAATGCACCTGCTCTTTGACAGTCTCAGGGTTCTGTTTAAAGCGCAGAGAGAACCATGAAGACAAAGGAAGGCAGGTCCGAGATACTGTTGTGGAGAAGTTTAAAGCCGGATTTGGATACAAAAAGATTTCCCAAGCTTTAAACATCTCAAGGAGCACTGTGCAAGCAATTATATTGAAATGGAAGGAGTATCAGACCACTGCAAATCTACCAAGACCCGGCCGTCCCTCCAAACTTTCATCTCAAGCAAGGAGAAGACTGATCAGAGATGCAGCCAAGAGGCCCATGATCACTCTGGATGAACTGCAGATAACTACAGCTGAGGTGGGGATGGTGTGTTCAGGGTGAGCTGAGTTGCTTTTAGGCCAAACATATCGTTTTGCATTGTGACCAAAAAGTTTGATTTTGGTTTCATCTGACCAGAGAACCTTCTTCCACATGTTTGGTGTGTCTCCCAGGTGGCTTGTGGCAAACTTTAAGAGACTTTTATTGGATATCTTTGAGAAATGGCCACTCTTCCATAAAGGCCAGATTTGTGCAGTGCACGACTGATTGTTTTCCTATGGACAGACTCTCCCACCTCAGCTGTAGTTATCTGCAGTTCATCCAGAGCGATCATGGGCCTCTTGGCTGCATCTCTGATCAGTCTTCTCCTTGTTTGAGATAAAAGTTTGGAGGGACGGCCGGGTCTTGGTAGATTTGCAGTTGTTTGATACTCCTTCCATTTCTATATAATTGCTTGCACAGTGCTCCTTGAGATGTTTAAAGCTTGGGAAATCTTTTTGTATCCAAATCCGGCTTTAAACTTCTCCACAACAGTATCTCGGACCTGCCTGGTGTGTTCCTTTGTCTTCATGGTTCTCTCTGCGCTTTAAACAGAACCCTGAGACTATCAAAGAGCAGGTGCATTTATACGGAGACTTGATTACACACAGGTGCATTCTATTTATCATCATCAGTCATTTAGGACAACATTGGATCATTCAAAGATCCTCACTGAACTTCTGGAGTGAGTTTGCTGCACTGAAAGAAAAGGGGCCGAATAATATTGCACGCCCCACTTTTCAGTTTTTTATTTGTTAAAAAAGTTTAAATTATCCAATAAATTTCGTTCCACTTCACGATTGTGTCCCCCTTGTTGTTGATTCATGACAAAAAATTTCAATTTTATATCTTTATGTTTGAAGACTGAAATGTGGCAAAATGTTGAAAGGTTCAAGGGGGCCGAATACTTTGGCAAGGTACTGTAAGTCACACATTTGTTACAATAATTGTTGCAAAGAAAGCACTGCTGAAGCCAATCGCTGAAATGGTCTACATACTTCTTTGTTTTATCTTTGTTTAACTGGAAGTCCTCACCTTGTCCGGCTGATTTGATGATCTGTGTGAGGATGTCTTTGGGGACATTCTCTCCGTCTTGCATGGCCTGTTGTCTGTTTTTGATCCACTCAGCTCCAGTGATGCGCAGCAGCTTACAGGCTTCCCTCACCTCTTTTATGAATGCTCTGTTCCTTGGATCAAACTAAAACGGACAAAACTTTTAAATTTGGTAACGCTTTATATTGAGGTGTGCTTGTTAAGTATTAATAAGGTATTAATAGACATTAGCAACATGCTTATAGATTGCTTATATGTACTTATAAACATATTAATAAGCTGCTCATTTCACTATTATCTAAATGATGTTGTTCTAGTTATATGCTTTTAAGCATTTAATAAGTAATTAGTAAGATACTTATTAAAGGAGGAATATGTTTATAAATATATGAATAAGCTGCTTATTAAACTATTATCGATACCATGTTATAGGCCACTAACAATATTCCTATAAAGATATTAATAAGCTGCTTATTAATAGGCAATAGTGGTAATAGGCCACTAAAAATATGCGTTAATAAACTGCTTATTACACTATTTTGCAGTACCCTAATCTAAAGCGAGGAGCATTTTTGTTAATGCAGAAAAAAACACAACAATGATCTAAGATGTTTTTATTTATTCAAACAGCAACAATTAAAGTCTAAATGAAAAAAAAAATCAAAATTAAGTTTGTGCCAAAAGTTTGTTAGTAACTTCAAGGAGCCATGATGCCCCCACTCATGCTCCGACCTGCTCTGTTAATGAATTTGGCTTTGGCAAAACAGTGAATCAACTGACTTCACGAGCCTGAGAGATTAGCGGAACTCGCCTATGTTTGGGCATCGTCTGGTCCTCCCTGTTCTGCGCAGTGGACGAGCTCCCATGATGCTTTGCGCCAAATACGCTTGCGTGGCTGTCATGCACGTGCACAGAGGGGCCGTGTTCTGACCAATCAGAGCTGCTGATCAGAGCGAGAGTTAGAGCGGGAGTTAGAGCCAGACGAGTAGAGTTTGTGGCAGTAAAATGTGGATTTAAAGGACAACTCACCCTCAAATCCACTTTTTTTTGCTGATAAACGGTATAAATGAGTGTCCAATAGTGTTGTCTACATATCCTGGTCATAATTTTGTCACTTTGGTGCAAATTAGTTGAAAGTTAAACTTTCTGCCTAAAACCATCTGTGAGGCGCCATCTGCTGGCGACCTGTATTACTACATTTGAATTTTGAATCTGGCGCCTGAGACCTGACGTCAGCAGCCCCCCGCCCAGAGCTATACCCTAACCCTAACCCATTCTATTTATCATGAAATAAAGAGTATTTTTCATTTTATTTATGCCATAAATTGGCATATTGTATATTTCTGTCCAATATATCAATAATCGTCATATCGTGATAAAATCGTTATCGTAATCTTTATCGTGAGCTTTGTATCGTATCGTATCGTGAGGTACCCTTAGGTTCCCACCCCTGTCCGCTAATCTCTCAGGCTCGTGAAGTCAGTTGATTGACTGTTTTGCCAAAGCCAAATTCATGAACAGAGCAGGTCGGAGCATGAGTGGGGGCATCATGGCTCCTTGAAGTTACTAACAAACTTTTGGCACAAACTTAATTTTGATATTTTTTTTCATTTAGACTTTAATTGTTGCTGTTTGAATAAATAAAAACATCTTAGATCATTGTTGTGTTTATTTCTACATTAACAAAAATGCTCCTCGCTTTAGATTAGGGTACTGCAAAATAGTGTAATAAGCAGTTTATTAACGCATATTTTTAGTGGCCTATTACCACTATTGCCTATTAATAAGCAGCGTATTAATATCTTTATAGGCATATTGTTAGTGGCCTATTAACATGGTATCGATAATAGTTTAATAAGCAGCTTATTCATATATTTATAAACATATTCCTCCTTTTAATAAGTATCTTACTAATCACTTATTAATTTCTTAAAAGCATATAACTAGAACATCATTTAGAGAATAGTGAAATGAGCAGCTTATTAATATGTTTATAAGTACATATAAGCAATCTATAAGCATGATGCTAATGTCTATTAATACCTTATTAATACTTAACAAGCACACCTTAAACAGCAATGAGTTCCCAGAAAGCAATTCATATATTTGTTAATGTCTTTGATAACAATGGACAATCAGTGTTGGAAGTAACTAAATACTAAAGTAATCTATTACCACAAATATTTGTAATAATTTAACAGAATGTAATTATAGATCTTCGCAACTATGAAGACCTAAAATACAATAAATGCCAGTTAGTTATTTAGTTAGTTAGATAGTTATTTTTTTATTTATGGAGAGAGACATTTTTACCAAGGGAAGCACGAATCAGACCTGTCCATTATTGGTTACCTCATAAAATATATTTCGTGCATGTACTACGAGACCTGCCAGACACTTCTCAACGGCTTTTGGAAAAGGAGAACTTTTGTTGAGAAGATCCAACTCAACTCCAAATGCAACCTACAAAGAAAACAACAAAAACATTTAGTCACACATTTTTGGAGGATGGTCACATGACTTTCTCAGGCACAACAGTCCACCCTCTACAGCTCATTACTTACAAAGCCAAGTCTGGGCGACAGCGTAGACCGTCCAGAGGAAAGTTCTAACATAGTTCTGTTGTAACCTTGCTGCTTGTAATCAATCATTATATTTGTATCAATCAATCCGGCTTTTTGAGAAGGAACATAGCAACAACATCTGTCTGGACACAGCTATGGGTGGGACTCCTATGTTAAAAGTCACATGAAAACCGATGAATCAGTGATGAAGTGGCAACTACAAATACAGTGCCTTGCGAAAGTATTCGGCCCCCTTGAACCTTTCAACATTTCGCCACATTTTAGGCTTCAAACATAAAGATATAAAATTTTAATTTTTTGTCATGAATCAACAACAAGTGGGACACAATCGTGAAGTGGAACGAAATTTATTGGATCATTTAAACTTTTTTAACAAATAAAAAACTGAAAAGTGGGGCGTGCAATATTATTCGGCCCCTTTACTTTCAGTGCAGCAAACTCACTCCAGAAGTTCAGTGAGGATCTTTGAATGATCCAATGTTGTCCTAAATGACTGATGAGGATAAAAAGAATGCACCTGTGTGTAATCAAGTATAAATGCACCTGCTCTTTGATAGTCTCAGGGTTCTGTTTAAAGCGCAGAGAGAACCATGAAGACAAAGGAACACACCAGGCAGGTCCGAGATACTGTTGTGGAGAAGTTTAAAGCCGGATTTGGATACAAAAAGATCTCCCAAGCTTTAAACATCTCAAGGAGCACGCAAGCAATTATATTGAAATGGAAGGAGTATCAGACAACTGCAAATCTACCAAGACCCGGCCGTCCCTCCAAACTTTCATCTCAAACAAGGAGAAGACTGATCAGAGATGCAGCCAAGAGGCCCATGATCACTCTGGATGAACTGCAGATAACTACAGCTGAGGTGGGAGAGTCTGTCCATAGGACAACGATCAGTCGAGCACTGCACAAATCTGGCCTTTATGGAAGAGTGGCAAGAAGAAAGCCATTTCTCAAAGATATGCATAAAAAGTCTTGTTTAAAGTTTGCCACAAGCCACCTGGGAGACACACCAAACATGTGGAAGAAGGTGCTCTGGTCAGATGAAACCAAAATCGAACTTTTTGGCCACAATGCAAAACGATATGTTTGGCGTAAAAGCAACACAGCTCATCACCCTGAACACACCATCCCCACTGTCAAACATGGTGGTGGCAGCATCATGGTTTGGGCCTGCTTTTCTTCAGCAGGGACAGGGAAGATGGCTAAAATTGATGGGAAGATGCATGGAGCCAAATACAGGACCATTCTGGAAGAAAACCTGCTGGAGTCTACAAAAGACCTGAGACTGGGACGGAGATTTATCTTCCAACAGGACAATGATCCAAAACATAAAGCCAAATCTACAATGGAATGGTTCACAAATAGACGTATCCAGGTGTTAGAATGGCCAAGTCAAAGTCCAGACCTGAATCCAATCGAGAATCTGTGGAAAGAGCTGAAGACTGCTGTTCACAAACGCTCTCCATCCAACCTCACTGAGCTCGAGCTGTTTTGCAAGGAAGACTGGGAAAGAATTCCAGTCTCTCGATGTGCAAAACTGATAGAGACATACCCCAAGCGACTTGCAGCTGTAATTGCAGCAAAAGGTGGCGCTACAAAGTATTAGCGCAAGGGGGCCGAATAATATTGCACGCAATATTGAATACTTTCGCAAGGCACTAGAGGTGCAACGGTTCATCACTGATCCGTGATCCGTTCGGTTCAACGTCTTCGGTTCGGTACAGACGTGATCCGCGGTTTGATTTATGAAAAAAAAGTTGTGCGCACGTTGTTCAGTCCACACACAGCGCGGTCATTGCGAGCGGAGGAACGGAGATACTTGAAAGTCCCGCGTCATTTAAATCACCAGTATGAGAGCATTTTGGCTTCACTGTAACTATACTGATAATTAATATTCGACAAAACTGTCACAGTGTGTAAATACTGTGGCACAAGAAAGACATGAGTGAAAAAAAGCGTCTCAACGACCACTTATTGCCGCGGCATTTAAGCAGCTCCTTTACGCAGTCAGACCAGGCTAAAGTCAACTCTCCCGCGCATCCTCAGCTGCGCTCACGACTGACGCTTGGACGTCCCGCGGAACCTATAATAGATCCATGAGCGGAACCGCTCACTTCATCACCGCAGACTGGGAGATGAGAAGTCTGGCGCTGCAGACACGCCCCCTCTACGACAGTCACACAGTCACACAGCGCAGGTACTGACACAAGCAGCGGAGGAATGGAAGACAAAGGCCCAGTACTAATATCCCAGTCACAACTGATAATGCCAAAAATTAAATAAATGCAGTGAATGAGGCTGGGCCCAGAATGGACCCCCTCCTTGGGAGAATCAGAAAGGTGGTGTAATATATGAGGGTAAATATCCTCATAAAGTGCCTTCTTATGTTGCACTTTGTGTTGTTTTTCATTAATTATGTTAAATAGACATAATTGGATGGATGGAATATGCCTTCCATCCATCCATCCATTTCCTTCCCCTTAATTCATTTCTAGGTCAGGTGGGGGCAGTCAGAGCAGGTGCCGAGTCCACATGAGCTGTGTTTATTAAAAAGACAAAACTTTTTTTTAGAAAAATGAACCGAAAAATGAACCGAACCGTGGCCTCTGAACCGAGGTACGAACCAAACCGTGATTTTTTCAAACCGTTGCACCCCTACAAGGCACTGTATATGGTGTTTTCCTCTACTGCTGCCTGCTGTCTGGGTTTAAATGACCAATCAGAGCCCTGCTTTGATAAGGCATCAACCGATAACTCACCAGAGAATTCTTCAAAAGGCAATCATCCCAGCAAAAAGGAATTCCACAGTTATCAGAAAATGTATTTATATATTTTAAATGACAGGCAAGACTTATACCTGTCATTTAAAATATGGGGCCAATCAGCGGAAAGGTCAAATATAATATGTATAATAACGATAATAATATTGATAAATGATAGGGGAATTACATTATGGGTGTTACATTATGTCGTAGAAATAGAGGAAAAGGATACTACACAGAGATAAACTTGTGATACAAAAGGTATGATTGTGAAATTAACAGTGATTTCCCTTAATACCTTTGCTATAACGTCCATAGTAACACAGTTGACCAGCTGAAGCATGGACACTTCAGTCTGGTTGTCGGCCTCCACAGAAAGCCGCTCCATGAGTTTCTCCGCTCTCTCATTGAACGTGCCCATCATGCCCCTCAGATATCTGTCATTAAAACATGCGGTCAGTGTGTATCCTTGTACAGTATAAGGATGAGTGTGTGTGTGTGCGAGCGTGTGTTTACAAGCTGCTGAAGGCGGGGTCCATGATGCGACGCTGTTTATACCACAAATCATGATCCACTGCTGTCACCAGGCCATTTCCCAAGAACCTGACATAAAAGAAAAAATCAGCTTCATTTTGTCCAAAAGACGTGGAAACTTCTTAACCGTATATGCCATCCATCCATCCATTTTCTTCCCCTTAATCCATTTCTGGGTTGGGGGGGTGGCAGTCAGAGCTGCACCCAGTACACAGAGCACCAGCCCCTCACTGATCCTCCTGCAGGTGGTGAGTCCACAGGAGCTGAGATCTTTCAGTGGGAGCTTCAGGCAAAGTGGGGTTAAGTGTCTTGCCCAAGGACACAACGACAGCAGTCATCAGTGGGAGTGGTGAAGTAGGTCTTATGGTGGGCTCGAACCCACTACTGTTGCTTCTTCTTAACCGTATATGATTTGAATAAAATTGAACTTCAGAAAATGTTAATTGTGGATGGACCATTGTGTGGAAAAATAAAATATTGTTCCTTTATGAGAAGCATTCCACAGTAGGGTGTAATGTTCTACACTAGTCATTAGTGGAAAACTAATCATTATATTTTCTTTAAAGTGGTTCTCACCCCCGCTCCTCGGAGCTTACGTTACTCACATTTCCTGTTCAAATCTTCCTCTAAATGGGCGTAGCCTGGAGGACTAAAGGGGGCGTGAACGAGACTGGGCCGTTTACATTGCTCTGGGCGGGGGGCTGCTGACGTCAGGTCTTGCTTCAGACGTCAGGTCTTGCTTCAGACGTCAGGTCTTGCTGCCGCGCCAGTGTTGGCGCCAGATTCAAAATTAAAATGTAGTAATACAGGTCGCCAGCAGATGGCGCCTCACAGACGGTTTTAGGCAGAAAGTTTAACTTTCAACTAATTTGCACCAAAGTGACAAGATTATGACCAGGATATGTAGACAACACTATTGGACACTCATTTATACCGTTTATCAGCAAAAAAAAAGTGGATTTGAGGGTGAGTTGTCCTTTAAGAAAAGAAAAAAAAAAAACAAGGAAAAAACATCAATCATGTAACTAACATTTGAGATATCTAAAATGAGTGGGTTCTTCTCAACTAAAGTAGTTTCAACTTACAGTTTAGGGCTAGTTCATTTTATATGTATATACATAAATAAACATATAAACAACCAAAGTTTATATTCTACCTTTGTCCAAAAAGATTGAAAATTCTTCTGTGAAAGTTTTTGTCTTTGGGGTACTTTGAAGACATGAGAATTTCCTGAAATGAACACAATAAAGTAAAGGTTAGGCAGTGCAGCGTTGCACGATGTGGCAAGGGCAGTTCAACACCGCTTGCGGCTTTAATTTGTAGTACATTTTCTTAACACATCTAACTAAAAGAGACACTTAAGCTCATGTAAGTCCAGGTGAGAAAAAACACCTTATTCTAACACACTTTAGTCACTAATGTGAGCCCTGATCCATTTAAGTGGATAAATTATAGTGCATTTGGGTATTGTATTATTGTTATCACTTATTTACTTTTTGACAGGTAACGTAACTTTCACAGGTATGTGACGTTGCACTTTACCTTAGTAGCCTCTGGACACGTGACGAAAATAAAAACTGTGTGAAACATATTTAACTTGTACACCGGTCCGTACGTCTCTGCCCTGAAATAAGTAAAACATTGAGTTAATTGGAAATACAACATAGACTTCAAAACAACTTTATCTCACCATTCTCTCATTTTGTCAAAGATTAGCTGATCTTTTTTCATCGAATCCAAGAAGAGACTCAAATGTCCAAATAAAAAGCTGCAAAGAATGTCACCACATTTTAACCATACCATACCAGATCACATTTTAAGCACACATTTCGCTTACCTGTTTCGCGGTGGCCCAGGGATGTGGTCATACTTCATGTGCACGTATTTGATATATGCGCACCAACAAAGAAGTGCGATAAAAATGAAAAAGAGCAGCAGGAAGAGGATTGTGGGTAACCAGCTCCACAAAACCGTGACACCTGCCATGGTCGAAAGTGCCTTGTTTGAAACACACACAGGGTAGTTTTATCTCGGTAAAAGTCAGGGAAAGTTCAACAGTATGAGGTAAGTTTTATGGCTTCCTCAAATGGTCTGATGCGAGCCGTGCCCATGCCACAAGGGGGCGCCATAACACAGCAGATGAACTGGGCCATCACTTGCCGTCGCCTTCAACTTTTATTTTTTAGATTTATTTGTTTTAAGATTTTTATCAAAGTTTAGTTACGTGTGTATTCTGTTGTGATATGTGTTTCCCTCTTATAGAGGCCGAGTTTAGCAACAGCCTTAACAAAGCTGTTTTTGTGGGCGGAGAAAAACAGTTCTCTTTTCGTTTAGTTACATAAGTAGGCCTATTGAAACCATTTTCTTATGTATTTGAAGCATTGTATTATGTTTTTACCAGGATTTCATGCGTCAAAAGGTAGTTTATATAGCTCATTTAAAATTTCCGCGCAAAATTGCGACAGCGTCACCGGCTCCATAGCTCAGTGGTTAGAGCACTGGTCTTGTAAACCAGGGGTCGCGAGTTCGATCCTCGCTGGGGCCTGTGTTAAAATGGCTTTTCAGCTTTATTCTATATGTAGTAAGTCTTGCAATGTTAACTCGTCAGATTTATATTATATTTTACGCTGTATTTTAGACTTCAAATTCAAGAATTAATAATAATGAATCATTCAAATTTAGGCTTTTGTGGACAGGAGAGGACATTTATTTATGGCTTTGTTCTTATTTTACCATTCATGTAAATATTAAACATCAAATGTATATTGAAATATTAAAGCTTTAGAGAGCTTTACAGAGACGTTTGCACCAATAATATTGATTCATACCGTCTATAGACCTATACACAAGCCTACTGAAAACTATACGACCTTGGGCAATAATACATGGAGATTAGATTACTGAAATACAATAATATACATTTCTGGCTGAACCATAAAAAATAAATAAAATGAGTGTTTGTTCAGAATTTTGCAATAGGTTGGATCATGATAAGATAACCTTTGTACGAGATCAATTGAAACAACATGAATAATATACAAGCTATAAACTGTTTTTAACATAGAATATGTCAAATGTTTATGCTTTAAAATCTTAGCTAAAGAATAAACTCTAATTGTGATCACATTATAGAACACTAATAGCTAAAACATAGTTCATTATTATGCCTTATTCTATTCTCTACATTTGACTTGTTTGCACCGTGAGCCAAAGCAATTTCCTAGTCTGTGACTTCCTGTTACTTACATGGCAATTCAAATGATTCTGATTCTGATTAAATTTGCACATAAAGCAAAAAACTCTTAATAGGGTTGATTGATAATTCATACCTTCTGGTCATTTATCATGAAATACACTGCACTACTAGTGATAGTAGTAGGATGATAGACAATAACTATCAACTAAGCACTACATTAGGCCAAAGCATGCTCAAAAAAACTCAAATTTGTATCTAGATGAAAACTTTAACTAAAACCGTGTCAAACTTTAGGAGGGGTCTCTAAAATCTCCTTGTAGTGTGATGTCATCAGTAAATGTGATGATAAAGCTGATCTAAAGATGTGAAAAAAGCTAAAACATATGGTTGTGAAAACTAACAAAGTAGTTATTCCTTAGTCCAATTGTTGAGGTTTTAAAGTTAGGTACACCAGCTTGAACTAAAATAGAAAATAACAGCTGGCAGCAGGTTTCCAGCTCTCATTACTGTTATTTGTACGATATCCAAATATAAAAGACCTAAAAAATGAGTCTAACTAGCACTGGCTTAGTTAACGTTATTTTTTCGTCCAAAGACATAAGCATGAAACCTGAATGAACCCGGCGTATACGGCAATCCAATCTTGGGTGAAGGTGGTCTTTAAGCATAGAATTCCTGGGTTTTTCTCTTTGAAATCAAATATATCAGATATGTAATACTGTATGTATAGCAGTCAAGTGTGCTTGTACATATTAAAGCTATACATATATTACATATCCAATTAGCTCTCATGACACAACCACTCAAAGACTTCCTTTCCACTTGACACTGAAAATACAGTGGTGTCCTGCCATTAAAATTTAGTTGTTTTTTTTATATATATATCTAAAATGGCAATTTGCAGTTGCATTAAAAAAAGATGGCTGCACCAGATTGAGCACCATGCTACTTTCCATCTGTAATCCTTGACAATACAGATGGAAACAGACAATTGGGACCTTGGGACGGCTATAGACAGCAGCTTGTCCTTTGGGCACCATGTAAACTCTGTTTTTAAAAAGTCACAGCAGCGCCTCCATCTCCTCAGGAAATTGAGATCTTTTAATGTTAGCAAAGACATTTTATCAACTGTATATATCTCACTCATTGAATCCATCCTCACATACAATATCCCCACCTGGTTCAATTTCCTCACTCTCAAACACAGGACAAAACTCAATAGTGTAGTAAAACAGGCCAGCAAAATCACCCAAACACCACAAACTCTGCAGTCACTTCCCTAAACAACCGGTAGCACTGCATAAATTATTAACTGTTTGATAAATGTATTTAAATTGTGTTTTATAAATGATTTTAATTGTGCCGTTTTGTAAGACAAATTTCTGCTCATTTTGAACAGACAATAAAGATCTATTCTATATTCTATTCTATTCTAATTCATATAACTTGCATTTTAACATACAGTAAAAAGTACAGCTTACTAACTTACATAAAATACAGTTCAATAAAACTGCAAGTTAAAAATACATATTAAAATACATACATTTAAAAGCCTACTAATCAGCCTACTGTTTCAAGTTAGGCAGCTCACAATGCATTGCTAACTACAGTACTTGACGGTTGAACACAAAATACTCAAAGTGCAGAATATTCCAGTTTCAAAAGCCAACTGTTTTTTGTTTCTACATTATCAACGGCGTCAGTCAGGGCCGTACACAACCTCCATCCATCCATCTTCTTCCCCTTAATCCATTTCTGGGTCGGGGGGGTGGCAGTCAGAGATGCTACCCATTACACAGAGCACCAGCTCCTCACTGATCCTCCTGCAGGTGGTGAGTGCACAGGAGCCGAGATCTTTCAGCGGGGGCTTCAGGCAAAGTGGGGTTAAGTGTCTTGCCCAAGGACACAACGACAGCAGTCATCAGTGGGACTCGTGACGTAGGTCTCATGGTGGGCTTGAACCCACAACCTTCAGGCCCAAAGGCCAATGCTCTACCAACTGAGCCACTGTCGCCCTCCAACCTGACCTCTGAAAATATTCCACTTTGACAAGAACTCCTCCTGGACACAATGGCAATTCACTTTGATTTGTTGCAGAGCTGTCCTGGTTGGAAGTCTTTGAAGATGTAGAATGCTGAGGCTCAGACAAAGTGACAGTTGATTTGCTCAAGTCTCTGGAAATGGTCACTGGCTGTTTGAGGTTACATCGTCGTTTCATCCACATCAGCCTGGTTCATATTAGCAAATGAAAGCCTTTGTTTAGTTTTTTTGGTCGTTTTGTTAATAATCACGGTCAGACCTTGCATGTTGAGTAGAGTTCCAGGATCTCGTCACATAAAAGAGCTTACTTTGATAAATGTTTTTTTAACTTTTTCTACTTTTGGTGAGCATACTTTACTAGACTATACTAATGTTGGGGGTGTATCTTTAACACAATATTTTAATTATTAACCCTTTAGGAATGTTTAAAAAATAAAAAAAATGTTTCAGAAATTTGACAAAATGTGGAGCCCAGAAAGAGAAATACTAAAATTAATACCAGAAATATATAAAAAACATGGCATAGGGGATTTTTTTCGAGAAGCTAGATATTCATAATTCTACCGCTTTCGCTTCTAGTGGTGTGTTCGTCCATTTTACATTAACTTAAAATTGTAAATCAGAGAATAACTATCCACATCTGAATTTTTTGGAACTCTTTACTGCTTTTATTTATGTAGTAAGTGAACAAAAAACACAGTCAGGCACCGGTTCTTTTTATGACCCGCCTCCACCTGAATCGACTTGTAAATGAGCTCTTTGATTTCCCAACTCGACTCAACCTCAACCCACATAACATCAATGCAATATGGTTAATCAAGATAAAAATAAAAACATTTACAGAGCGGACTTGGAACAGGAAGCAATATTTCACAGCGGCATTGCTTAGTTTTTAAGCATTATTATCCAATCAGGAAGCAGAATGAGGCTCTCTTTTGGGTTGCCAGAAAGTGATTTTTATTTTTTTTATTTGTTTTCTAAACGACCCAAACTTAAAAATTGCACCACATATAACAAATGAAAGCAGGTTAAAAAAAAAAAAAGTACTTAAGCGTGAGAGTTTGTATCGCTTCTAGCTAAATGCAAGTAGTCTAACTTGTCGCATTGCTGTTTCTCAATAAAACAAATGGTTTGACTTTGAAGAGAAAGTGTCTTATTTTCATTGCGGCCGTTGTTCGGAGTGTACGGTTACTTGTTGTGTTTAGACGCTCCGATCTCCGAGTGGATTCAAGTGCACTGCGTTTCTCTGTGATGTGTGAGGATGGATGCCTGTTTAGTTTGGCCTTTCCACCTTAAAAAACAAACTTAAAGAATGAACTTCAAAGGTTATCCAGCGGGTTATAACACTCTCAGATATTCCTTTAGATGATGATGATATTTTATTGTCATACCATTTCTGGGCATAATAATGTTGGAGATGCTGTTTTTTTTTTGTATCTGGAGTGGAAATCTCATTCAGCAGATGTCTGTCAGTGGATTAACCAGCGCTCTTTGCATACCATTTGATTATTCAGGCAGTGTGACCTCTTTAAGTGCTTTAAGTCATGGATCTATTTGATTGCATTTCAACGGATTGTACTAAACAGTCTTTCTCCAGTTTGTTTGTGTCTTACGCCTCGCTGCTTTTCATTATCTACCT